ATTTTTTTGTTTGGGATGACATTAAACAAAGATTCTATGCAAGTCCGATCAATAACCTTAATTTCTTACGAAGAAGGATAATTGAATCTTGTGAAACAATAACACAGTGCCGTTCTGCCACTACTGCTGTTGAAGAAAGTGGTAAGTCTTAATGCTGAAGGAGATCACTTTGAACAACATTAAGCGTGAATTTAATTTGCACATTTAATTAATAAAGAGATTGGAACAAATAAATAAGTTTTATTTACTTAATATAAAGTAAATAATTCATACCAATGTAAATCTTAGTTGTGAATAAGTCCTAAACAAAGCGTTTGCGGACATACCTTCATAGGATTTTTTTTTCTTGTTATGAGGTCCTTAATTATTCATATTTTCAGTTTGGCCACTTAACCCTGAAATACCTTGTATATCTAAATTTACTTATCAACTGTAGTCTGAAAATATATTTACTCTCTTCTATTGGAAGTATTCGTGGACTTTTAACTTTTTATTTAAAAGTTATCCTATTACATCTACTATTCCTGCTGAAGTTGGTCAACGAAAGACATAGGATTATGATGAATAATCTTTTATTCGTCTTTAATAATGTTAATTTTCACCACGAAATTAAATCATCAGTTCACTTTATTTAGTTTTGTGCGAAATCGGACTTGTTATTGCATTTTGCATGACAAAGACCGAGACCGCCTAACTGTTGCAAAACCAAGACAAAGCGTGGTAAAAAAAAATCGATTTTTTGTATTAAAATTTAGCCAAGATAGTTATTAATACCTGGTAATTTAGTTACTATATCTAAAGAATTGGTATAATCAATATACTTTTGTATTTAACTGTAACAAAACAGTAATTTTGTTTTAAACATATACTATCCACCGTGGTGAAACGAAACACGATACTGTAATATTTTAGAATATTAATATATGTATAAATAAAAAAATAAATAATAACACGTCCAAATAACTTCCAAGCTAATATTTGTTCGGGCAGAATACTGCTTATTACAATGTAAAAGATATAAAAGCCAGAAGATTATATAAAAACCACTAATGGCCACTTAAATAAATAAAGCATTAATTCCACAATATGAGCATATATTAAAAATCTATTAATACAATTCAAGAGTGTTGTAAACGTTATATGCAAATCTTTAAATTAGAAGAGACGCATGAGGAGAAGAGAAAAATCTAGTCTGAGATGTTTTTAGCTTATACAGCATAAAATTATGATATTCTGCAAGGATAATTAACAACGTAAAAATATCGGTATATGTTGTTTTTTTATTTTATTATTTTTTTTTCTATCGTGATACTCAGCTCAACACTATTAAAATAAGAATATATAATTATCTGTGGAACAGATGCCTTGAATCACAAAAAGTTAAAAAAAAATTTTAATATGTTAAAAGTTCAATATGATTTAGGTATTTTATTTTATTTAGTAGCTATCACTAGATTTCCAATTAGAAATATTATTTTAAAAGCTAATAAGTGTATTTACCAAATGGTAAAAAAGTTATCATTATTACAAAAATATATTATCAAAAAAATATAATAAAAATAAAGACAACACACTAATTTGAAATGTAATAATGTGGCTACAAAGAGAAAATAGGAAATGGATGTTATCAGTTGGTATTTATGTCTAAAATAATCTGTAGAAATACTAACAACAATAACTAATATATGTCTTCGGAACGGGGAGGTCGAGCGAGCTAAGTGTGCAAAAGACGCGTTGCCCGGCAACCTGATAAACCTAAGTTTAGATGGCAAAAAATATGAGTTCGCGTACCTGAGCTGAGGGGGCTTTTAATTCAGACATTAATTACCGCCTTCTCCCCTGGCCGGAAACCCCGCATAGCCCAAAACATGAGGCAGGGGTTGATAAAAAAAAATAATAAAAATAATTATAACTTGCAATGCAAAATGGACCTTAATTCGAATAAGTTTGCTAAAGAATAAGCAAGCTACATTAATTTATGTAAGGGAAACCTCTGCTTCGATATTCTTGAGGTTATAACCCTTCTTAGCTTACCCTCAATCTAAACGTTTTAGAAGAGAAAAATAAAACAAAAAAAAACGATTAATCAAAAAAATATATAATTATTTATTTTTTGTTTATTGATCACCCCAACCATTCTTCTCTTCAACTATAATTTTTCATTTCAAGGAAATGCTATCAAATCTGAAACTACTTGTCAATCAACTAATAAGATAAATCATAACCAAAACGTGGTTACCATTGAAAAGATTAGATTTCAGTTGTTCATTAGTAACTACTGTTTCTGGAAAAATGTTTTTTTTTTTTTACAAATGTCACATTTATCCCAGGTTATCAGTGATAGTTCACATACTTGTCTCGATACGATAATTTGTCATTCATGGTTTTTTTCTGAAACGGGAGATACTTGTAGAATTTTGTTAGAATGTTATGAAATTCCGAAAATTGAAATTTGATTGCCTAACTTTAATTAAAAATATATTTCTCTAAACATATAAATACGTTTAAACCTAAATGCCGGTTTCTCAATTTAAACAAATTTATCAGATTAATTATGCGATCCGAGCGCTAATGAACTGTAATGAGAAGCAGTTAAAAAAATAATTAATGCAGCACCCAATTAAACTTCAAATTGGCATTTTATTAATCGAAATGATAATTTGTGTTAAAAAGCCTGAAAATTAACTAATGGGCAATGCTAATTCTCCATTGAATGCGTTCAAAGGATATTAACAATTACATTTAACTGGCATTGGATACCTTTCTACTCAACAATGCTCACCAACAAAATAAAACGATTTTGATTTTTGGTCTAACTCATATTAAATAGCGGATAATAACATATAATCAAAGCACCAATAATAATCATTTTCATTCTTATGACAGGCATCAAGGGAGCGGCAGAGAGATATGACGTGGTGAAACTGTCGGATTACAATATTTAAATTAGGCTTAAGTGTTTTTTATTATAAAAACTAGTCCCTCTGACTCTTCCAAGTTCCTCGAACACGTTTAGTAATTTATAACTCAATTTAAGAGCTCGTTTATATGAAATATTTTTAATAATAACCCAATATTTTTATCACATATGCTTCTAAATACTCTAATCCTCTTTAAAATATCTTCAGCTTAATACCTTCTCAATCTTTTCGAGGCATTTATATTCATGATAATGGTTTTCAAATGAGGTATGCCATTTTATCCGTTAATTAACTTCAGACAGCCGTTAATAAATATATATAATACATTATAAATGATAAGCAGTAAATTATATTTGTTCGAAATATTAAATATTTTCAGGCTCAACTATTAAATAACATTATTATCTTCAGAAAATAAATTTATGACCCCTCTATGGATACAAAATAATGAAAAGCCATTTAGTTTCATATTTTAAAATAACAAGTAAATAATATAAAATGAAAGGCACAAATTTTTATAATGCATAAATAGTAATTAATTATTTCTTTATTTTCATGTAAAATAAAAACGTGAATATGTACATTTATATGTAATTATGTTTTCAAAAAAATGTAATAATCAAAACCCCGAAAATTATTGAGAAAAAAAAAAAAAAACCATTTGAATATGTAGATATCTACCATTAAATAAGCTTTTTAATTCTCAAAGACATATTTATTCTGTATTTCTTTAATAATAATTTTTTTAAGCGGCAATAATTATTATTAATATCAATAATCAATAAAGAAGTAGTTACCCAATTATAGGATTTAATTTAGAGGGAATTTTTTTTTTTTTTTTGTTTTGCTTCAAAACCAGATAAAAATAAATATTTACAGAAATAATGTTTCTAGGGATATTTTTTCCCAATCCGTACTTCCATTCAGTTGCTGAAATACATACGTTATAATCTAAAATTACACATTTAAGTACATATTTTTATTGTTTGTTTGGCTTAGGTCACTCACCGAAACAAAAATAGACCAATGAAAAAAAAATATATTTTTGATTTTGGGAGAGCTTAGGCGGAAAGTTGCTCTCGTGAGTCCGCCCGTGACCCAAGTACACGGTGCTACTGATTACCGAATTAGTAACAGAGTTGATAAGAACTAACCTAGGTCACTCACAAAACAGAATTCACTAAAATCTATCATTCACAACTTACTATTGCTATGTTGAGAGCCACAGTGGTTGAAACCCGACCAAGTCACTAACTCAATTAGAGAACACACAAAATCGGACGCTAAAGAAAGACACAAGGATACGGCGATTAGGAGTACCATTTGGTGGCGGCATCTGGGCTACGAGCTAATGGAGATTGCCACCTCCACCCTGCTATTTACACCTTACTATTATAAATCCTCCCAGACAGGCTGGATAGCCCATGTAAATTCAGCTCGTCCATCGGCTCAATGCGGACCTGTAATTAGAGCTGAGGTCTTAACAAGGCGGAGCATGAATTCGCTGCGCCTTCAGCATTGTCCGAATAATTCTAATGCCTTATCTTGTCTGCAGCTTATCATGAATATGCTAGTCGGATTCATAAGGACCAGCACGAACACCAGGTTCAGTTGGGGAAACCTGAAAATACTTTAATCACCATCATAGTCATCCCTCTTCTACTGCCCAAGCTTAGTTCATGCATTTTTATTTTTAATAATCGACCAGAGTGCCGACAGCCACGTTGCTACACACAGCCAGAAAACCTGAAACTGTAACTTCCAGTTAAATTGTTCTTATGAACTTGTTGATTTATTCCAATCTAAATCTTCATTAATAATTTAACTTTAGCACGATCCATGGTCTCTCTGGAATAAAACTTACTCTGATGTAAAATAATCTAGCATCAACCGAAAACAATAGCATTCTTAACAGGAATGGTATAATAAATAACTAATCTATTTTTAACATTAATAGAATTTGTAATAAACTTAGAGGTATAATCTAATCTTTCCTCTTTCAGGTAATATTTCTGACATTCATGAAGGGACTTGAACCAAAGCATTACTGAAATAAATGGATGGTTAGGGCGCTAAGAGATGGCTACGGATGAATTATGCGGCTCTAAAGGTAATATTCACAGATATCTTATCAAGATGCAAAACTTCATAAAATATTAAATTATTGGACAGCTTTCAAACAAAATGAGTTATTGTTATTCAACCTCAAAATAGTAGGTACAGCTGTGATCCTCATTAAGGGTCAGGCATATTCACAGCATAAGGTGGTATTGAAACAATTTTTGGTGTAAACGATTTAAAAAAAATCTTTCTCATATTTTTTTTTTGCTTTTAATGTTTGATTAGTTCATTCTATAAGTTTTATTTATCTGATAAAATGTTTTGGAATTGTTTAAGCTAACATGTTTCCAAATGAAAGCTCTTTAAAACAATAAGTGAAGACAATGGTATGAAGGAAAGGACCGTGCACGTTGGGGCCTGGATTCCAGAGTGTCTGAAGAACAAATGCAACGTTTGCGAGAACAAATTCCCAGAATTCTGAACTTATTAGTTTGATTCTCACCTAGGTCATTAATTTTCATTTCTCATCACCTCGGGAAATATATCTTGATATTCCCACAGTGGTAAATACTCTCCCACTTTGGCGACCTCAAGTTAGCCGTCAAGGATTGGCAAAAGGACTATGTGGCCCACTTGCCGGACGAGTTACCCCCAACAGTACCAGTAGTAGATGCGTCATGAGTAAATTGTGTTTTTAAATGACACTTTAATGGATTTGGCAGACCAAATGTCGTTTGCTGGTCATCTATTCTTAGTGTATTCAACTTTTTTAATTACATAAATTTGATTAAGACGGAATTCATGAAATCTCAAGATTTGCTATTCAAATTTTGATTGATCATTGTTTACATGAAGGATTCCTTATATAAATTAGCCAATCATTATTTCATGATTAGAAGTTAGGAAGCTTCTACACAACAATGAATGGCTTAAAATTAGCAAAAGATCAGTGGGAGGCCAAAAGCAGATGGAGCAGATAGGCAGACAGAATATCGAAAAAGATGGTGTCTGCAGTAGACCGAATGTGCCTGGGGTACTATCACTCCCATGGCTAGAATGCTACAACCATAATCAAAAGCACTGCATCTACATATTTTCATTTCGAACTGTAATCAGCATAAGAAGAAAAAAATATGTTGATATTCAATACTTTCAATGTATCCTATGCTATCATATATAAATTTAAACGTTTGATTGAAATTTTGAAGCTATTTTCACGATGTTTATCTATTCATATGTTTGGCGAATAGTAATTTATGATTAAAACTAAACTTATATCGATTAAGAGATTCTCATTGAATAAGGATCACCGCACAGATAAAAAAAATTGTGTACAAAAAGGATGTAGCTGTTGGGCCTTTTATAGTTTCCTGTTCACTCTTTATCACGGCCTACGTATCAGTTTCATTATCTTAACAACAATCTCTTAGCTGTAATGGAGAGCCAACAAAAGCCTGTGAAGAGGTAAAAGCATCCAGCAACAAACAATTTCAGGGTAATTTTAATAATGTCAACATATCCAGGAAATGAAGACTCGTGATCGGAATAATTGGGCCATAAAACACAGGAATGAAAACATTCGGAATACCAATGCTATTCAATAACATGTTCAGAAGTAATTTACAAAATCTTCATCTAGATGATAAAACTGAAAATTTTTATTATCTTATAGACAAAATAATTCTTACTATTAAGTAGTATTTAATTATCATTTATGCACGTATGATTCTCACAGGTCTTGCGAACACTAGCCGAAAATTAATAATTTTTAGCCAATATCAAAGGCATATGCACCGGCACTGTGGGGCAAAGCACTTTTTCTTAACTCAATATTTTTGAAGGGTGTCAGCCCTCCCAATATTTCGTAGTCGTTTGCTAAAAAGAACTCCAAAAAGTTGAATATACCGTATCTGAAATGATTACATTTCTTATATTACTCCTTTATGAATAGCATTCCATCCCCTTTCTACCGCTATCCTTCCCCTCTTTCCCACCCCCTCACCCATGCATTGAACTGTTATCCTGTATAACTAACATTCGGTGCCGCAACTCTGTTTATCCCACCACTTCTTGAGAATTAAAAAAGAACTACTGTTCGCCATGTGGTCGAAATTAGAATATAATCATTATTGAACATTTGAGGAAAACATAAATGGATTTCCATGTTTTCAAAATTCTTATATATTTATACACTCACATTTATAGGCATTTACAAAAGAAAATAGTGCAGCACCATTTGTGTACTTTTTGAGTTATTGGCAAATAAAAATGTTAATCCATCGTTAATTTTTCTAAAAAAAATATTTGAACCCATTTTGCTCATTCGGCAAAAACTTGTATTTTTAGATTTATATGAAAATTCGTGTTTGAAGAGCTCTCCATGTGAAATATACTCAATTCTTTAATTTCCTTAAAAACTATTTTTACCCTTTGATCAGTACGATTTGTTTCGTTTCAACATTGTACATATACAATAGCTATCCAAAGATAAATTTGTTGTGATAGAGCTCTCTTAGACAAAATAAACCGAAAGTTTTTTATTACAAAAAATATCTTATGAGACATGATTCTTTTCGATTTCTATGATTTTTTTTTTCATTCGGAAGTAATTCAACAAACATTCAAATACTCATAGGTTTAATGAAATAAAAGCTGTATGTTTTTTGAGTTAATAGCGAATAAAATTCTTAATCGATCTTTACTTTTTTCAAACTCTTTTCGGGGAAGTATGTTGTACCCATAAATGTTTTCTTTTTTTTTATTATTTTATTGAAATTCACAACTGTAAACATATAAAAACCAGTAAATCTGCTATAGGAATATATTACATTCAAGTACTTGTGAAGAAGCTACCCATTGGTAACACTTCAAAGATAAATTAATTTAGGAGGTCCCTTGCCCATCTTCTTTTCAGACGCCTTGGAGGGTTTCAGGAAATATAATGGATGATAGGTTACGAACTTGAGGATTGGGGTGACCAAAAAGTTTGGAATTAAAAGAGGTATATCTAGTTTGGGCCAAGTCTTCCACAAGAGGAATCTTGAGGTCTTTATGGATAATTTTAATTGTGACTTAATAAGGAGCATTTAGGATTTTACGGAGGATTTTGGATTGTAAGCATTGGACACGGGAAGAATTTGATGTTTTTGTAGAGCCCTAAAGCTCATACACATAAATTAAAAGGGCTTTTCTAGTTGAAATTAGTCAGGTCTAATTAAAATCTTTATAGTCGTTTTTTCGCTTTAGTCCATAGCGACTTACGTTTTTCGGCCGCCATTTCGAAACCAAAGCCGAATGATAATGACAAGTATATAAAACACCCACGAATTGAGTTGTGCATCACAGAACTTTCATGTATCCCTCTACTTTCATTACAAATTATTGCCTGACAAAATTGGACTATTACAAGAAAGTTTTTAATTAGCGATGTAAGAGTGTATTGAAATTTTTTTATGATTTAGCTTATCAAAGAAATCGTATTCAATTTTTTTTTTTGTTCAATATTCAGTAAAATTAATGTTATTCAATTATTTTTTTTAACGGAACCTATTTAAATATATAAAAACTTTTCTAAAATCGGTAGAAAAGTCGTATAATTGGACACAACAGATTTTTTTTTTTTTTTAAACTCGTAAATTCAAAAACCATACTAAATTTGTATCCTTCTTTTAATTTAATTTATTTTTCACGTCTTCTCTACCTTGCCCTAGAGTATAAAAGAACGTTATACCTCTAATAGATTAATTTTTTTATAGAAGATTTTCTGAAATTGTGCTCTAATTTAATTTGTTTCTTTATAAAGAATTTCAATTTGAATTAGAAAATGGTTTTTCTGTTACATACATTATAGTTTGCAAGCCTCGTGTATAAAATAAAATTAAAATGTAACGTTATCCAGTGATATCTTTTCTTGAAATCCGGTAATATAAAAAATACATGAAAATAAAATAATATATATCAGATGATTTGCATGCCTCGACCGGAAACATTAGTTTCTCACATGAATATGATTAAAAATGGAGTCATTTTAAGTCACTCACTGTGTTTTGTTCCTTCTGATACTTTCTAACAGTTTTTTTTAACTTAACAGGTAGTTTGTTATTTACACCAAATGGTACAAACCGGCTATCATTGCATAAGTAACGATTTGTGATGCTGCCATAATTTAATGATCGGTCGGTTGCCATTGACAGAACCATATCCAGTCCGTTTTTATTTGTAGCATCGTTGTAGTAAACTTGTGGTTAAATATAAAAAAATATAGTAAAAGCGAAATTAAAAATAATAACAATATCTAACATGTAACTGTAATTATTTCAATTCAGTTTGTTTTCAGATGATCATGGATAAGAGCTGAAATGATTAAGCGATGGATAAGTGATGAAACGCAGTATAACCAAAGAAGATGACAAAGTAGATAATATAGATACAAATATTCAATAACAGGTAAGACAAATGTATACAAATCATCCCTAAAAAAACTATTCTAATTATTAATTCATGAAATTACGACTGAATAAAAATATATATACATCAAGTAAATGTGATAATCCTTAAAAAAATATTTTTAATGCTAGTATATTTCTTACTCGAACTATATTCAACCCATAATATAGTTTTCAAATATGTTCTCTTATAAAGTTATTATAAAGGAAAGAATCAATTTCTGATTCGGGGTAAACCTTGAAAATAAAAAGAATCTTGCGGTTTAGCTTTGCAACAGTTATAGATCAGGAGTTTTAAATAATCACTATCAAAGCATTAAAAATTTTAATTATGAAGTTTGATAAAACCTATTACTAACGATATCGCTCTGTTTTAGTCTGATTTTATCACAACCCAAGGCCTTAAAACAGATTCAGGCCGGCATGCAATGAGAGAAGTTGTTTTTTCGAATCGGCACGCAAACTTTCTTCTGTTAATTCTAACAAGAAACGACTAACAAGTGTGGTTTTCTACTAGCGGCGGAGCAAAAGTAAATATTAGCATGAGGCTAAAGAATTAATAACTTTATCTGTTCATGAATTTCAAATCTCCCGATTCCATCAACAACGGGAGTGGAGATATTAGATCCGTGATTCAAATAACTTGGATTGCTTGGTTTTAGATTCATTCTCCTGATTAAGCCATGCTGTAATAATAACGCATTAAGTATTGAGAAGTATTGGTTTTAGTTTATTTTACACCCCATTAAATAAAGACGGTCCACTGTCCGCCGACAGTGGTTTCCCTCCTAGACTTATTGGGCATAATGTTTTTCTAGATTTGGTGCCCAAGCCATAGTATCATACCAGAATTATCGTGATAAAGCGATAATGGTTCATTTCAGTTTACACTAGTGTTGCCCAAAATCAGTCTTAGTCTTGCACTTTGCCAAGTCTGGTAAACAAAATCGATTTTTTGAATAAAAATTAAGGCAAAATAGTTACTAATGCTTGACAATTTCAGATACTATATGTAAAGAATTGGTATAACCATTTGTATTTAACTCTTCTAATTTTTGATTCGGGCTTAGTTAGGTATTCCCTACATAAAAAAATACAATAATATCTCAATAGTACTAAGCTAATAGGTAACTGCAAGACCGTTTCGAGTCTCTGATGCAAGACCAAGACCTAGATCAAGACTGAGTTTTTGGTATTTGGCCAACATTAGTTTACACAGACTCGTACCTCGATCATTTGTGAAGATCATTTTTTATTTTTTGAGTATTACAACAATCTGTCACTTGGACATTAGTTATAGTGAGGTAGGATAACATTCACACTATATATACAAAAATATAGAATAAATAGAAGCAAAATAACAATAAATAATATTCAAAAAGTATATACAATAAATAAAATAAAATAACCTAAAAATAAGAAAATTAAAACTAAGCAAACAACACATGCATACATATATACACTATTTACAATTAGGCGAGGGAACTCCGAGGAAGGCTTGTCCCTCCAACTGGGGAAAAGCTGGACACCAGGAGAACTCCTCAACCGCATCACTGGTACTAAACTTACCTGGCGTGTGGGTCACCGTGATCGCAAACGAAAAATAAAAAAGGTTTTTACGAAGAAAAAACAAAAATCATTGTTATAGAAATAATCAACCATTTTTTTAAGAATTTGCAATATATATATATATATATATTGTGTATGCTGTGCTATCATTGCACAAGACCATGAATTTACAACGCTTCTCCTAAGGGGGTATAAGTGTTTACAAATATATAAAGTCAGTTACTTTGTATTAAATCAGATGATACTCCCTTTCAAAGCACTAGCGGATCCAGGATTTATTTTTGGGGGGGGGAGGCTTAAGCCCGAAAGTTTTTTTCATAAAAATAACGATAATTAGTTTGGAAAAAAAGAAACTACCTATATGAAATGGTGTTTAAGTGATCTCTGAAGCCCTTTTAAATGTAATTACACCAAAAATAATACTTTAAGAGACACTTTTTTAATATTTTTTTCGATAAAACATGGTTATATTTTACCATTTTGGGAGAGGCTTCAGCCCGAAAGCCCTTCCCCCGTAGATCCACCCGTGTTTCAAAGCAACGTTATCTCCTGACCACGCTCCTTACTATTCGAAAGGAGTGAAGCAGCTCTACAAGCACGAGACTCCTAAATCTGAGTAAGGAAGTGACTGAATATTTATTTTTGTTATCCAGAGTGGATTTTGGAATCAGAAGATCTTCCTCGGCCAAACCTAGCTCCATAAAGTGTATAACTGGGACTCTTCATTTAGTTGCAGATAAAGTATCAGGTAGATGAGTTTGGATGGTATGATTTATCATATGACAGTTTTGAGCAGTGTTGACCTTAGACATTCGGCGCCCCGGGTCAATAACGTCATCACCCCTCTAAAAAATATTAAATTTATCTCTTAAGCTGTTTTATATTATGTAATATTTAAATTTAATTTCCTTCAACATTTCTTAAATAGAGTTGCTTTATTGCTCGGCTGAAATTAATTATTTTAATACGTATTTCTAGTAAGTGGCGAGAGCCTCTGAAGGTCCCCTCCAATCGGCGCAGCAGAACAATCGCCCCGGTTGCTCCACCTTAAGGCCGGCACTGCTTTTAAGGATCGTTGGTTTTCAGTTTTTAGAAAACTACAACTTAATCTATTCTTACCAGAGTGCGAAGGTTCATTTTATGAGTTTACTTCGAAATAAATTTCAACACACTGAGGCTGTATTCGAACCACAGTCATCACGACCTCTACTAATCGCTAGCCAACGTTTTACTAATCCAGGCATTATCAGAACCGAAATTTGACCATCAATTTTATTCTCTCCCACGTTCTAGTATTACAACCCTTTTCCTTCAGTTTACACAATAAATATATGGGACTTGTTTCCAAAACAAAACTATAAATGTTTGGAAATCGAGATAAGTATCCCTATGAAAAAACACCCAATGAATCCGACGGTCCATTTTTTTTTTTTTTTTTTTTTTAACGAGCCTAGATATTTAAACTGATCTAGTAAAAATAAGTTTATTTTCAAAATCGGCATTTTGTCAAAGATTGTAAGGATACTTCCATTTCTTAAGTGTTAAAAAAATAATAAACCATTATACGATTTTTTTAATCATTTCATTTGAATGAAAATTAAAAATAAATTTATTTCATTGTACCATTTTTATTAATAAAATGTTAATGAATGTTACAATTGAAATAAAAAATATAGCTGTTCGTGTGTCCTGAACATTTTTCAATGATGATCAAAGCTCACTTAGGAAATAAACCTCCCCTATATACGTCGCGTCCATTTTTAAATCTTATTAACAATCATTACAGATAAAACACAACTGTTTGTACTGGTGACTGTAGAACTCTACAGTTTATCAAACGATGAAAAGCATTGTGATTGATTGGGTTTTCTGTAATATCAGGCATTTTTTAACAACCAGCCTCGTGTCCATAGCGTCAACGCCTATCAAACAGAATTTTCCATACGCCTCTTTATTGTTGTAAACGGCCATCATTCCTATTCGTGTTCAACGTATTTTTACAGGCATTCAGACTAAACGCTGTTAAAAAATACACTAATACAAAACAATACGAGCCGAATAGGTATAACACTCATAAGCGAAGACTTTCCATTCTGGTTGGGGGGAGGACGGGCGATGTACCCCTCTCCAAGGCAGTGAGATGAACTCACAATTCTCCTATGCTTCAAATTTGACGAAGGCAATGTTATAAAGTCCTCACGAAAAAATGGAAAGGTGCTCATGAATGAATCATAAAATCCAAGGATATGTTGCTCCATATAATTATCGAGGAAAGGAAAGTTGAGGGGAGACCTCAGGGAAGGTCCAGGAAGATCTAGGAGGTCAGTGTCAAGGAGGCCTTTGACAGAAGGGATATTGACTGGAGGAGGAGTCTGCAGTTGGCTCAGGATCGAGAGTTGTGGATTCGGCTCTACAAGAGCCTTCTCACACCGCTCAGCGGTAGAAGAGGAAACGATTAAGAAGAAGAAGATATAATCATCAACTATCAGATATAACATAAACTAAATTTTCAATTATAGTTACATAGGGCATGGTAAAATACTTGTGTATCTACTTCTTTGATTTAGCTTAGTGATTTTAGTTTGCATTTATCATTCATTCTTGTAGATTAATCGTTACTGGGTTTGATTTTTTTTTTGTTCTTCAAAATATTGGAGATGGAAAAGACGATATTCTTGCCCCTTTCCATTTTTATTTAAGAGGTTATCGTCTTCTGCCCCTCTCCTCGGCCATCCCAAATGCTGCGCCTCTAAATGCACTTTCGGTAAAAGTAAATTTTCTTTCTGATATATCACACGACTTAAAATTAAGAGCTGTTGGTTTTACTTAGAATCATGAAAATTATGGGCTTTGAACATATTATTTTCCATACCACACAGTTCTACTTTTCGACAACACTGTTATGGTTAATGTAGTTCATAGACATCTTCTAAATATGATAATTTTTTCATTTAACCCCTATCTCGCTATTTCTGACAATAGATAAAACCGTTAAGTGCAACCAAATATTCTAACCAAGTGTGACGGTCAGCCATGAAATAAATTTCAACCCGCTAAGGCCAGATTCGAATCATCCATCCTGCTCCCCTTCGTACTTTCGTGCCTCCTTGCTCAGGTTTACAAGTTGAGAATTATGAAATTCGTTCCTTGTTTTTAAGCCTTCGTCTTCTTCTGCGCCTCCTCTGCTTTCCAGGAGCGGGTCATGCTCTCACAAGATTAAATTGGGCTGGGCCTACTGCAACTCTCTCTGCGTTAACAAAATCTATGTAGTACGTGAAGTTCTGCTCGGTAAATAGTTCAGGAATATCGTTCCATAAGACGACATAGAGTTCGGTATCCTTCAACAATTTGGCCCTGTAACAATGTGCTCAGCGCCCGCATCTACACCATTGTGAGTTATTATTTCACTTTCATATTTTACCTAATCAAACTTTATGGAGACAAGGCACTGTAAGATAGAGAACACGAGGTGGTCGAGTTTGTTGAGGTAGAACTTAAGTTAATCTTCAGTCAGAAACAGTGCCGCCTCGATCTTGAACAAGTCAGGTGGATTTAAATTTCATTGCTGATCTACATATTAAATCTAAACATTTTCACTTCAATGAAAAAAATCTGGTGCGAGAAAAATTGCACTTATTACTCTCAGTATAAATTATTTTCTAGCAAATTAGACTTTTGCAAAAGTGTTTGTAGTCCATATTTAATGGAGTTAAACCTCACAGAATTAATTTTTTTAATTTCAGCCATATTTATCAATACAAAATTCCTAATTTCACTAAGGCATTAAAAATAACACAAACCATATCTATTATATCTATAGAAGGCAATGAAAACCTAGTGAATCCCCGTCAGTTTATTTATTATAAACCACTTAGCTTCAGACTCGAAGCTCTATATACGAAAACAATTTGAATGCACTGAGATATCTCTAAGCTATGAATAACCAAGGATTGTCCTACGTGATAAAAATTATAGGAACTAAATTAAACGATCATTCATAGTTATTGAAGTATATGTAATAACGAAATAACTTGGCAGGAGTATTTTTTACTTCAACTTATCTATTTATGGAAATACGGTATGGAAAAGTATTGCCAATATAAATAATATTATACTCTGAAACGTACAAGAATTCATGAAGGTAAGTGGAAGTTGTGTGATACGCTAACACTCCAGATTTATTTTATTTAATATTCTATTTTTAGTTGTTTTATTGAATTTGAAATTCATGGAAAATTAAAATGAGTAAAAGACGTGCACGACAACGACCCTTGTTGAAAACCTGAAAATATTATTTTCGACATTATTTTGGGAGAAAAAAAAAAGTGGACCGAGATGAGACCTCATTCTTCAAACTGCAACAAATATTTAACATCGATTCTGTCCTGGAAAAGTATAAATTTAAGTTGAAAGGGTCTGATATATTTTGTGCCGTGTGAATTGAATACATCGGGGGAGTTTCGGGGGATCTAAATTAATTAACTGCGAGGTCTAAATACCCTTTTATAGATTCATTTATCAGTGGGATGGGACAGGGAAAAAATGCCATGTCCATTCCATCTCCCCTTTCATTCGAGTATTTTTTATTTTTTTTTAAAACCAAACCAAGCTCTGAAAAAAAAATCACAGAGGGAGGGTGAAACGTTGAATTCATAATTTAAAAACCTGGCGCGAGATCTAATACAGAATTAAAATCCTTTTTTATAAATTCAGCAATATATGTTAAAGGATCTCATAAAATATATACAGTCCATTAACCAGTTAAGAGATTTATTTAGCTGTGGAATGGTTGGTAAAGGATTGCGTTAGAAGAATTACTGTCTTCTACTCAGTCTTATTACCAGGATTTATAAAAAATCTCGTTCCATAATACGTCCGTTTTACCGTTTTTCTTAAAGCTGCATTGTCATGGTCTTGATGATTTGACATGCCAAACATATTTGTTTTATCAAGAAAATAGCCAATTTTTTTCAATACTGAAGTGATATTAAAAAGATTGATTCAGTATATTGATTCAACCAGCAAATTACATCGATTTCTTAGACATTTCCATTACAGTGGTTGTAGAAAGTCTAAAATCCTCATCAACATGTTAACTTTTAGTTTTCTAAAAATTGTGTGAATAATTGTGTATTGTATACAATACATATAGTTAGTGCATTGTATTCCTTTATATGCCGGAAGCAGAGTTCGTTATTTTAGTAAGAATATATAAATGAAATTTCGCCCTTTTTCAGCAATTTGTAATATCTTTACAAAAAAAAAATGTAATTTAATTTAAAAAATAACCCGACTATAGAAATATTCCTATGCATCCTAAATAGCGTTGCCCAAATGCGAGACCGAGATGAGTCTTGGCAAATTCAGTCTTTCTCATGGTCTTGGTCTTGCGCAAGAATCTCGCAATGTTAAATGTAAAATTATATTGGTTATAACAATTATTTCCATATAGTAACTAAGATTGTTAAGTATTAGTAACTATTTTGCCTTAATTTTTATTCAAAAAATCGATTTTTTTTTTCCAGTCCTGCTCTTGGTCTTGGAACAGTCAGGCGGCCTTGGTCTTGGTCTTGCAAATTGCAAGTACATTCCCTTGGGATGTAGAGGATTATTTTTTAAATTAAATTGTATTTTTATTTTATGATAGTTATTTCTTCAAGTATTGAGGATTCATAATTAGTATACAGGATCACAAACATACTCAGTGAAACAAAAAATATCTGGTGTGTCCACTTACACGACTTTCCTACCTATTTCAGAAAAGTTTTTATATCTTTATATATGTTCATGAAGAAACAAAAAAGAATTTAACTAGGAACATTTTCCTGAAAATTAATCAAACATAAGAGTTGAGTACGATTTATGTGATAAACTAAAGCAATGTAAACCTGCTTAAGGTAGATCAGTGTAAAAATTTCAATACTTCCTAATGTTGCTAATCAAAATCTTTTTGCCATAGCTTAGTATTGTCAAACAATAATTTTCTCTAAGTAGAGGAAATAGTGAAGATTGTGTGATGCAGGCAACAGATTTTCTTACTTTCACTTAGTCATCTTTATTCTTTCATTCACCCCTTTCTGACACCAGGATATGAAACCGTAATCTTACATTAGAAATTGAATAGCTGTAATTTCGTTAATAGTTGTCCAAAATAAACGATTTTTATATGGCTTGGTAGAGAATTATATTGCCTGTCTTTTGAAAGGTAATGAAATTTCCTATACGAAACGTGTAGATCCGTCAAAAACCGCGTGTCGGAAACTTTTCGAGAATTCAGTCTATATATGAAAATTGAAAGAACAATGATTAGAACATTTTAGGAAAGTTTCATCAAAATCGTTAGAGCCGTTTTTGCGCTGCAGTCAATAGAACAACATGTTTTTCATTTATTGCGCGCAGACTATTGCGCATGGAGCAGCGAATTTCTGTCACAGGCATCAGTAGTCAAAACCCTACAAAATAAAAATAGAAGCAACAAAATCGGTCCAGTAGTTCCCGAGAAAATCTTGGCACAGACAGACAGGCAGACAGACCAATGGCTTAAAATGTGTTTTTCGGACTCAGAGGGCTCTGAAACGATGTGTATCAGAAATGTGTAGATCCGACGAAAACCGCATGTCGGAAATTTGACACGATTGCAATACTTTCCTTACCTAGTATTGGTAGGAAAATAAAAATGAGATTACTTAGATTGTTTTTTTAAATTTTTGTTTCAAAGCATTCTCAAGATCTTCAAGTGATTTCATTTTGACCCGTTCAATAAGAAAATCGTTAAACATCTTTTATTGAATTGATTGAACACTTTTAACTTACTTTTTTTTCACATCATCAGTTTGTATCAGATGGTTTGTTTCTTCTATTTGCTGTTTGATGTCTTCCTTGAACTGTATCTCAGATATATTTTAAGATTTTTTGGAGCATTCCTCAGATCTATTTATTCATTATATTTCACTGTTAATCGGGGTGATTTTTTTCACAATCATTAATCATTTTTGAGCCCTAAGTGAACCGAAAAACTCACGAGAACTCATCGAGTAATTTGAGTCATTGGACTTAAAAATCGGTCCATCCGTTCGCTCAAAAATCCGTTATATACATTTTGTCAGACGAACAAAACGTTATACAACCCTCCGAGTAGCTTCGCCGTAGTCTGGTAATAAATAATATATTTTGTATATAATATAGCCCCAAAAAGGGAGTGAAAAAAAATTTAATCAACTCATCGTCAATCCTCATTAATATTATAATGGAAAATAAAAGTCAAAACAAAAAAGCAGAAGCTTGATAATACCTTCTATAATGAGGACAATGTAAGCATTAGTACGCTGGACTTGCATTAATTCCAACGAATTTACATAGAAATGACTTATGCCCTCAAATGAAAAATTATGCGAAATTGACCTGCGCTTCCTGTATAACTCGCTTATCATTTCAGTAATTGCAATGACGTCCACATCCAACGTTAGATATGTGAG